GATGTAATACCGGTAGCTTAGCTGTAGCATTTGTAGCTGAGGGCTTCAGCTTCCGGGTAACATGGAAATGACGTCATTCACGTAGATTACTGATTGGCAGCGCTAACTCGAAATTTCGAGTTGCTTTTCTCAAAATTTTGAGTTAATATGTCGAAATTTCGAGATAATGGATCCTTTTTTTTTTTTTTAGTGGCGGAAACGGGCTTCCATAGCTGAACACTTGCAACATTTGCCATACTCTAATAAATTAACTTTGGGGGGAGTTGGAATATATTTGTCAGCACTTGTAACATATACTATCACGAGACATAAAACTAATTGGATACTTAGAATCTTATGTGCCAGACGTGCCTTTTGCTCCTGTGTGTTTAGCCTCCAAATGAGTATTGTGTAAACATGAGAAAATGATTAATCCAGACCATTAATCTGTTAGGTGTATTCTGGATTGAATTCTGTCCGAAATCGTCTTACGTAATGTAAAATAAAAACAAAAAATTGGAAGTATGCTCAGATTACACTGCATGCTTGCATTCACTGGAGTTCAAACAATGCATGTACTTTGCTATTACGACTTGTCAGTGCCTTTTTTGGCACAGTGCAAACTTACGAGTAGTCATTCTATTCTTGATGTGTCACTGAGATAATAACCCAGAGCCTTATCATGTTTCTTCGTGTATGCAAGGTTTGACCATCATCTTCCCCCCCCCACCTATTCAAAGGACTGAAGAAAAGACAAGTCATTTTAAGTTAGGCAAAATGAAAGACAAAAGAATAACTGATCATGGGAGGGCAATTGTTGTGAAACTGCTGATAAAATCCTGCAGAAGTAATTAGCTGATGGAAATCAAATGAGTCTTGTGTGAGGCAGGCAGGGATCATAGCGTACATGCTGTGGATGCCAACAAACAGCAATGCCATTCGACAGATGGATCAGAGCACTCCTGACCTAAACTGGGCTAAAAGCTCAAGGTCACGTGACTAATGGATTAGTGTTAGCCCAGCTGAAGGAGGAGGTGGTTAGCAAGCATGTCACCACATGCTTCCTGATCACTTCCCTTTGAATGTGTTTCCCCTTTCTCTTTCACACTAAATCTCCCCTCATCCCCGTTTGTCTGTAACTGTTATTACTACATTAGTAAATGGCTGGGGTCACGTTCATTGACACACAGTTGGATCACAAGCAAATGAACTTCTTACCCTCTTTCCATTCACGTAATTCTTCGGCGCACTCTCTTCCTCTGTTCATAGTGACAAGAAGCGCCACGCTTATCACAATCATTAGTGTATAATTGACATCTTTGACACCTCAGCTCTGACTCACCAACTCAAATCAACACCACTGCCCTATTATTCTCATTTCCAGCCACTCATGAGGTCAATGCTTAGAACAAATCCTTTGTGATATCCTTCCTAACTAACCTCTCTACTTACGTTAATGTTTTTTCTATACTTGTATGAAAGTGGGGATGAAAAAAAGGAGAGGCAAAGACAAGCTTAAGGATGCTTTGACCACACGGCACAGTTGGCTTACAGGACAAAACACTGAGTTTTCCTGTCTCCCCTGCTGCCATCCCTCTTGCATCAGGGGTTCCTGTCAGGGACGGCGTGTACCAGCCAACTCATGCCTGGCCAACATGCCATATTTCCATGTCAACTGAATGTCTTCCTTTCCAAAGAAACTTAGGAAAAACTTCCATTCCTATGCACAATGCACAGGAGCAATGTAGGGGGCAGGCAGCATAGCACAGTTCTTGCCAACAGGGTTAAAGGCTAAAAATACTGACCACTATTTCCTGCAGACTGATTGAATTTTTTTCCATGACTGAAAGAGCAGAAATGGAAAAATGGCTAAAAATATTACAATTAATAGAAATAATAATAATAATAATAATAAAACTAAAAATGACAAGGAAAATAGTCTTGAGTCATACACTGAGAGGTGTAAACATCAACAACATATGAAATACCAAAACATCCACAAATTATAAACGTAAACAATTCATATCTCCACTTCCCTGCCTTTAGGGTTATGTTTTGAAATTGTTCTTTCCCAAATGCAAAGGAGCTAAAACGAGCTAAACAATTATGACAACAGCTGCTCTTTCACCAACTGATTCTAAAAAAATCACCTCGAGCCAATTTCTAAATTAAAATGAGGCACAAGCTACCAACTCCTGCTGCCGTATTGAGATGAGAGAAGTCAAAGAGTAGTCATAGCGTCTTCCAGAAGACATTATCACAGAAGGATGGTGGCATTATCACAAGGCTCAATTACTCCGAGCCACAAGAAGCAAAGGCAATGTCATCCCAGTTGTCAAGAAAAAAAATGTTACAGGTTTATCGAAGGCAAAAAATATGAGGTCTTACTGGAGCAACAAAGTGACAAAAGATAAGGGGATGGTATAATCTTTGCAGCTAAGCTCATCCGAGTTCTTGAAAATGACACAAATACAACAAAGAAACAGTGATATTTTAATGTTGTTTGTAAGACGCACAAACTGTAGACTTGGTACAGAAGGCATGCCTTTGGCAGCTTTGTTTTGACCTTTAAGCACTATCCTTTCATGCTTTTGGGAAATTAAATATCAACAGGAAAAGCAAACAGTGACAAAAATGTTCTGTTTGACAGCAACAATTGGGAGAGCTGAAATGAATTATGGAGGCACGCTCAAAATGTCCTTGCACCTTTTACATTTGTAACTCAATTTTTATGTGAATATGGCAGTTAGTACAAAGCTGGCATAGAGCACTTATGTTACGGAGCAGCTTTTTCACCTATTTTCAATCTAGTCCTTGTATCTGACCATTTTCAAAGTAATGTGTTGTTGTTTTTTTTGTTTTTTAAGCCACTTAACACTGACCTATTAATCATTCAAGCATAAAAAGGCACCTAACTCAAGGGATGAACCAGTGTTGCATCTACACATAACAAACAACTTAGTTAAATTATACCTTTGGGTACTTTGTTACTAGCAAAGTGCCTAAAGTTTAATCCCACTTTTTTCTTTCTTCAACACCAACAAGTTGATTCCCAAAGAGTTATTAGCTATAAACTTGGTATATCTCTATGTGGTGTGCAGTGTATCTTAAAAAAATTTGAGGAAAATAGATAAGTGCAAGATAAAAGAAGGCGTGACAGGCGTAAAAAAAAAAAAACATACTGAAAGCAGATGATGTGTGAAGTGTCTACAGACATCAGGAAAGCACTGTGGAGGAAAAGTCATGGTTTGGCACTGCATTTAAACCAGTGGTGCTGGGGATCTAGTCAAAATTAATGGGAATTATGTCATCATCAGATTTTGATCCACTATGCAATACCATCTGGATTGCATCTGACTGGAAAATGCTTCATTTTTGAACATGACAATGATCCCAAATACACTGCCAATGCAGTAAAAGCATACCTGAATAGAAAACACACACACACACACACACACAGTGGAACACTATCAGTCATGGATTGGAATCCCGAGATCGTGGACACCAACATTATTTACGCAGTGTGGGATCATCTTGAAAGAGAATGGAACAAAAAGGCAGCCAACATTGAAAGAAAAGCTTTGGAATAGTCTTCCATAAGCTTGGAGAATTACTCCTCAATACTATGTAAAGAAATAAAAAGAAAGCTGCCTAAGAGAGTTCAGGCTGTGTTGACGAATAAAGATGATCATACCAAATATTGACTTTCAAGCTCATCAGAACTGTTTTTTGCTGGGGGGTTTTGTTTTCTTTTTGCCTTATGTCTTATGCACTGTGATTCCATTTATGTTTGCACGTTTCAGGAAATTGCTTCACCAATTTCCTTAAAAACAAAACAACAAAAGCAAAACAAAACAACAACTTAAAGAAATGAGGGGTAGCTCAAGACTCTTTTTTTTTTTGCTCAGTACTATATGCGAGGCCGGAAGGGAGAGTTGACCATAGAGAAAACTTAAAGCTAACCAAGACCGCGCGTCAAAGCCTGCCAACAGCAGCGAAGATGAAATGGTTGCTTGCCATAAATAGAGCTTTACACCTTTAACAATATACAGGCATCAAAAAGAAAGGGGGGGGGGGGGACAGAGATAATATGCTGAGTAGTAGGTCAAGATGACAGCAAACTCACTGGCTCGACAGAGACGCTGTCAGCCCGAATTTAGAAATATTACTGGGAATGTTCGCGCGCGCAGGGGGACCTGCCTGTTGATTCATCCGCGTTAATAAAGCCCCAAAAATTAAAAATAAAATAAAATGTGGAAAAGTAGCCTACTCCAGCACAATTCATATCACTGCCATCCAAATTGATTCTCAACGTCTGCAGACGGAGAAGCGCTGCCGCACTCGCAGTTTGTTTACAAAGCGCTGTCACAATATTCTTTCGCAACGGGCACCTTCAGTGGGACAAGGCGAGGACATTCACCTCTTCGGGGGGAGAAAAAGAAGCACATTCAAGCGAATTAAACTGTCACACTCACCTCTGTGGATCGACTGAAGTTGCTGTCCTTTTTCATAAAATGTGGGGTGAGGCTGCAGAGACGTGTGCAACCTACAACATGGACCTCTCCGTCAGTCAGTTCCCAACAGTTCGCTTCACAGTTCACTGCGCGCTCTCTCTCTCTCTTTCTATCTCTCCCTCTGTGTGTGTGTGTATGTGTGTGTGTGCGTATTTCTCGCTCGCTGACAAACCACCCACTTCCGGCGGTTCTTGCACGTCTGTCAAGAGTAACAGTTTCTACTGATTTCTGCCCTGATGACGGATTTCGGGAGGTTCTGAAAGCGTTTTGACATTTAGTAAATACACACATAAAATAAATCAGTTACAGCTGTGTTCTCCATGTTGAAACTTCAGATTTGTTATTTTATGTGCATGTTTCATCGAGTCCGATTTTATAGCTAGGGTACTCAACACGGCGTTTAATTTCAACTTTGGAACAATGCTTTGGGCCACGGTACATATTGGATGTAAAGATCGCCTGCCTAAGAACCAAAAATACCAAAGGAAATAACAATAATAATCAGAGCTCTTCTCTGCTGCACATTATACGTGCAGATCCGTTGGTTAGATTTTGCTTAATCTCCCACACGATAATAAGTCTCCCACAAATTGAAGAATGGCGACACCTGCTGGTGAGAATTTAGCATAACGTTCTAAAAACAGCAACAACAAAGCGAAAGAAACTTAAAAAAAACCCGTATATATTGTTTGCATCATTCATAGCTGTCTGTATTTTTAGTATAAGGGCTTAAATGAATATTTAAATGTACTTTTCTGAAACTAAACTGCCCCATACTTAACTAAATGTTTCTTTATTATCAATTTAACAGGCTGTGGTCTGAGAGGCTGAGACAAACAGGAGGTGGCAGAGACCAAAGATAAACCTGCCACAAATAATTAGAGGACAGTGTGGCCTCGGGGAGCCATCTAACAGAGAGCCACACATTATTGTGTGACACTAAATAAAGAATACGGTGACATCAAGTGAACAGTTGCTCATCACTGAAGAACAAACACTTGTTCATTTTAAGTGTATCATAGCTACTTTATTTATCTCATAGATAAATAAGAAGTACCAAAATCCATATATTCATAGGTTACTGCATGTGAAATACTGTCTTTCAACTACTGGTCTGAAAATGCTGTGAAAATAATGTGTAAAAACCTTTAACATTTAAGTCATTCAGTTCTTTCTGTGTTTTTAATTCAAACAAAAAAATAAAAGAAGAAGAAGGAGGAACTATCAGATAGTCTATCAGCTATACATTGATGAATACTTCCTTCTTAAACATGATTTTTTTTTTAAATCCAGTACATTCATTGCAAAGATGTATTCTTTACCTATGACTTAATTTGAAAAATTCCAGAGTTTGCTTTTCAGCTGTAGCTGAATATAATCTGAGAAATCCCCTGTGATGCTGTAGAAATTAATGGCTTCATTTTTTCACCTGCTTGTCAGAGTGGCATCATTTTTAGCACTCTCTCTCTCTCAGACACACACAGACACACACACAGCAGCCACCACACATACAGCTTCATTGATTCTCCAGATTGACTGGCTGCGGTCCAGAATTGAAGGGTGACAGTTGCTTCCTGAGACAGCTGAGTCAGCAGCTGCTGTCGGTAATAGCTCTACATCGTAACACCCCCTCATCTCCTCAAACCAGCCTGTGTTCATTTCCTATCCTCAAGGCTAACCAAATATACACAAGACAGAAAGTAACCGAGTGTGACAGCATGGCAGAGACTTAGTGATCTAGAATATACCTCCTTCCTTTGTTTGTTTTGCCGTCTCTCTCTGTTGTCATGTATTTGCAATTGGGCCCTTGGGAATCCAGGCGGCGGCAGGGCTGTTGTTCACATTGGTATTGTTACACTTGAAGATGCAAACAAAACAATGTGGGGTTTCCAGGCAGGGAAATCCAGCAATCATGTGCCGAGAGATCGTTCATCAAAGACAGAGTGAAAAACTCTCATATTGAAAATGGGAAGTAAAATAACAGCTCATCTCTCATGAATTCACAGAAGTCTTTTTTTATGGCTGTATAAATGTACAATAGGTTGCTGTTTGTCACAACTGTTAAAACCTACCTTGGCACAGTTTCATTAAAATATGTTCAGCCCTTTTTAGAATGGTTGCCTAAGTTTGTCTTATTTATTCATAGTGCCAAGCAAATAAATACATCTAAAAGAAGGAAAGAAACATGAGTTTAAATATTTTGTACATCCAAATGGTTGTTTCGGATTTATTCATGTACACTAACCTACTTACA